TGTGGTTCAGACTCAGGCTCTAATGTGGTTCAGACTCAGGCTCTAATGTGGTTCAGACTCAGGCTCTAATGTGGTTCAGACTCAGGCTCTAATGTGGTTCAGACTCAGGCTCTAATGTGGTTCAGACTCAGGCTCTAATGTGGTTCAGACTCAGGCTCTAATGTGGTTCAGACTCAGGCTCTAATGTGGTTCAGACTCAGGCTCTAATGTGGTTCAGACTCAGGCTCTAATGTGGTTCAGACTCAGGCTCTAATGTGGTTCAGACTCAGGCTCTAATGTGGTTCAGACTCAGGCTCTAATGTGGTTCAGACTCAGGCTCTAATGCAGGTTCAGTTCAGACTCAGGCTCTAATGTGGTTCAGACTCAGGCTCTAATGTGGTTCAGACTCAGGCTCTAATGTGGTTCAGACTCAGGCTCTAATGTGGTTCAGACTCAGGCTCTAATGTGGTTCAGACTCAGGCTCTAATGTGGTTCAGACTCAGGCTCTAATGTGGTTCAGACTCAGGCTCTAATGTGGTTCAGACTCAGGCTCTAATGTGGTTCAGACTCAGGCTCTAATGTGGTTCAGACTCAGGCTCTAATGTGGTTCAGACTCAGGCTCTAATGTGGTTCAGACTCAGGCTCTAATGTGGTTCAGACTCAGGCTCTAATGTGGTCCAGACTCAGGCTCTAATGTGGTTCAGACTCAGGCTCTAATGTGGTTCAGACTCAGGCTCTAATGTGGTTCAGACTCAGGCTCTAATGTGGTTCAGACTCAGGCTCTAATGTGGTTCAGACTCAGGCTCTAATGTGGTTCAGACTCAGGCTCTAATGTGGTTCAGACTCAGGCTCTAATGTGGTTCAGACTCAGGCTCTAATGTGGTTCAGACTCAGGCTCTAATGTGGTTCAGACTCAGGCTCTAATGTGGTTCAGACTCAGGCTCTAATGTGGTTCAGACTCAGGCTCTAATGTGGTTCAGACTCAGGCTCTAATGTGGTTCAGACTCAGGCTCTAATGTGGTTCAGACTCAGGCTCTAATGTGGTTCAGACTCAGGCTCTAATGTGGTTCAGACTCAGGCTCTAATGTGGTTCAGACTCAGGCTCTAATGTGGTTCAGACTCAGGCTCTAATGTGGTTCAGACTCAGGCTCTAATGTGGTTCAGACTCAGGCTCTAATGTGGTTCAGACTCAGGCTCTAATGTGGTTCAGACTCAGGCTCTAATGTGGTTCAGACTCAGGCTCTAATGTGGTTCAGACTCAGGCTCTAATGTGGTTCAGACTCAGGCTCTAATGTGGTTCAGACTCAGGCTCTAATGTGGTTCAGACTCAGGCTCTAATGTGGTTCAGACTCAGGCTCTAATGTGGTTCAGACTCAGGCTCTAATGTGGTTCAGACTCAGGCTCTAATGTGGTTCAGACTCAGGCTCTAATGTGGTTCAGACTCAGGCTCTAATGTGGTTCGACTCAGGCTCTAATGTGGTTCAGACTCAGGCTCTAATGTGGTTCAGACTCAGGCTCTAATGTGGTTCAGACTCAGGCTCTAATGTGGTTCAGACTCAGGCTCTAATGTGGTTCAGACTCAGGCTCTAATGTGGTTCAGACTCAGGCTCTAATGTGGTTCAGACTCAGGCTCTAATGTGGTTCAGACTCAGGCTCTAATGTGGTTCAGACTCAGGCTCTAATGTGGTTCAGACTCAGGCTCTAATGTGGTTCAGACTCAGGCTCTAATGTGGTTCAGACTCAGGCTCTAATGTGGTTCAGACTCAGGCTCTAATGTGGTTCAGACTCAGGCTCTAATGTGGTTCAGACTCAGGCTCTAATGTGGTTCAGACTCAGGCTCTAATGTGGTTCAGACTCAGGCTCTAATGTGGTTCAGACTCAGGCTCTAATGTGGTTCAGACTCAGGCTCTAATGTGGTTCAGACTCAGGCTCTAATGTGGTTCAGACTCAGGCTCTAATGTGGTTCAGACTCAGGCTCTAATGTGGTTCAGACTCAGGCTCTAATGTGGTTCAGACTCAGGCTCTAATGTGGTTCAGACTCAGGCTCTAATGTGGTTCAGACTCAGGCTCTAATGTGGTTCAGACTCAGGCTCTAATGTGGTTCAGACTCAGGCTCTAATGTGGTTCAGACTCAGGCTCTAATGTGGTTCAGACTCAGGCTCTAATGTGGTTCAGACTCAGGCTCTAATGTGGTTCAGACTCAGGTCGCACACATTTAATTTTTACTGATTTCACTGCAAAAAATGTCAAGACACAGTAGTCTTCGTCAGTCTGTCTCAGACACAGTAGTCTTCGTCAGTCTGTCTCAGACACAGTAGTCTTCGTCAGTCTGTCTCAGACACAGTAGTCTTCGTCAGTCTGTCTCAGACACAGTAGTCTTCGTCAGTCTGTCTCAGACACAGTAGTCTTCGTCAGTCTGTCTCAGACACAGTAGTCTTCGTCAGTCTGTCTCAGACACAGTAGTCTTCGTCAGTCTGTCTCAGACACAGTAGTCTTCGTCAGTCTGTCTCAGACACAGTAGTCTTCGTCAGTCTGTCTCAGACACAGTAGTCTTCGTCAGTCTGTCTCAGACACAGTAGTCTTCGTCAGTCTGTCTCAGACACAGTAGTCTTCGTCAGTCTGTCTCAGACACAGTAGTCTTCGTCAGTCTGTCTCAGACACAGTAGTCTTCGTCAGTCTGTCTCAGACACAGTAGTCTTCGTCAGTCTGTCTCAGACACAGTAGTCTTCGTCAGTCTGTCTCAGACACAGTAGTCTTCGTCAGTCTGTCTCAGACACAGTAGTCTTCGTCAGTCTGTCTCAGACACAGTAGTCTTCGTCAGTCTGTCTCAGACACAGTAGTCTTCGTCAGTCTGTCTCAGACACAGTAGTCTTCGTCAGTCTGTCTCAGACACAGTAGTCTTCGTCAGTCTGTCTCAGACACAGTAGTCTTCGTCAGTCTGTCTCAGACACAGTAGTCTTGTCAGTCTGTCTCAGACACAGTAGTCTTCGTCAGTCTGTCTCAGACACAGTAGTCTTCGTCAGTCTGTCTCAGACACAGTAGTCTTCGTCAGTCTGTCTCAGACACAGTAGTCTTCGTCAGTCTGTCTCAGACACAGTAGTCTTCGTCAGTCTGTCTCAGACACAGTAGTCTTCGTCAGTCTGTCTCAGACACAGTAGTCTTCGTCAGTCTGTCTCAGACACAGTAGTCTTCGTCAGTCTGTCTCAGACACAGTAGTCTTCGTCAGTCTGTCTCAGACACAGTAGTCTTCGTCAGTCTGTCTCAGACACAGTAGTCTTCGTCAGTCTGTCTCAGACACAGTAGTCTTCGTCAGTCTGTCTCAGACACAGTAGTCTTCGTCAGTCTGTCTCAGACACAGTAGTCTTCGTCAGTCTGTCTCAGACACAGTAGTCTTCGTCAGTCTGTCTCAGACACAGTAGTCTTCATCAGTCTGTCTCAGACACAGTAGTCTTCATCAGTCTGTCTAATGTCACACAAATCAATTCTGACTCTGGGAACGTCACGAGCCGCTCTTGAACCAAATGTCTGCTCTCAGCAGAATCCAGGACCCGCTCCTTCAGCTCCGAGCTGTCGATGGTCGCAGGGGGGGTGCGGCTGTGTAGGGCGGCTGTGTAGGGCGGCTGTGTAGGGCGGCTGTGTAGGGCGGCCATATTGATTCTCCAATACTGGGAGGCACTCGTTTGGGGTCACGGAGTCAATTGGCTCCTTCTCAGCCGGGGTGACAGTCGCAGCTGCCCTGAGGCCTCCGTGTTTTTATATTGCAGAATAATGTGGAGGGAGGAGGCGGAGGCTGATCTAATGTACTTTGGTGTTCTGATGGACGCATAACAGCGGGACCAGGAGGAGACGCAGCCCTCCTCCTTAACAGCCATAACAGCGGGACCAGGAGGAGACGCAGCCCTCCTCCTTAACAGCCATAACAGCGGGACCAGGAGGAGACGCAGCCCTCCTCCTTAACAGCCATAACAGCGGGACCAGGAGGAGACGCAGCCCTCCTCCTTAACAGCCATAACAGCCACTAGAGTTCACTCGTAATATCGCTCTGTTGTACCATAAACACTGCCAATAACCAGGATGTAATAGCCTGAGGTTCTCTATTCATGCCATAGAACTAGCCTGGTCTTACCACACCATGGTACTCTTTTCATACTAAGGTCTGGGAGGGGTTAGCTCCTTTTGCAGATTGAAACCATTGGATCTGAGTTTATCGTAACGTTAGCCTAGCTTTAGTATGTAGCCTAGCTTTAGCATTTAGCCTAGCTTTAGCATTTAGCCTAGCTTTAGCCATCTCCTTTGCCGCTAACGGAGCCCGTGCGGAGTAGAGCCACAACATCTTTGCTTCAATGACATTTACTAAACATTCCTCTTGGATTGAACCAGAACAGATTATTTTACTATCGCATTCTCCATGGTCCAGAGTTTACACATGGTAAGACCAGACGTACATGTAGGAAATGATCATGGACCAGAGTTGACACATGGTAAGACCAGACGTACATGTAGGAGATGATCATGGACCAGAGTTGACACATGGTAAGACCAGAGTTGACACATGGTAAGACCAGAGTTGACACATGGTAAGACCAGAGTTGACACATGGTAAGACCAGAGTTGACACATGGTAAGACCAGAGTTGACACATGGTAAGACCAGAGTTGACACATGGTAAGACCAGAGTTGACACATGGTAAGACCAGAGTTGACACATGGTAAGACCAGAGTTGACACATGGTAAGACCAGAGTTGACACATGGTAAGACCAGACTCCTGTGTTTGTTGTATTGAAGCGTGGCCAAACCATGGGTGTTGTCTGGAGCCGCAGAGGAGCAGTGAGTGACAGCTCTGAGGAGGCCCCGGCTCTGCTCTCCGCTGATAAGAGAAACTGACCCACAATGCACTGGGGCTGGTCTGGTCACTGGTCCACAGGCCTCAGAACACAGACTTATTATTCAGTTTATCGAGTACAACCCTCTGTTTAGTCCTGACCGTCCTCACCCGACGCTCATGTGACGCTAACACAGACAGAAGTATCCCCCACAGAAGTATGTCCCACAGAAGTATGTCCCACAGAAGTATGTCCCACAGAAGTATGTCCCACTGAAGTATCTCCCACAGAAGTATCCCCCACAGAAGTATCTCCCACAGAAGTATCTCCCACAGAAGTATCTCCCACAGAAGTATCTCCCACAGAAGTATCCCCCACAGAAGTATCTCCCACAGAAGTATCCCCCACAGAAGTATCTCCCACAGAAGTATCTCCCACAGAAGTATCTCCCACAGAAGTATCTCCCACAGAAGTATCTCCCACAGAAGTATCTCCCACAGAAGTATCTCCCACAGAAGTATCTCCCACAGAAGTATCTCCCACAGAAGTATCTCCCACAGAAGTATCTCCCACAGAAGTATGTCCCACAGAAGTATGTCCCACAGAAGTATGTCCCACTGAAGTATCTCCCACAGAAGTATCCCCCACAGAAGTATCTCCCACAGAAGTATCTCCCACAGAAGTATCTCCCACAGAAGTATCTCCCACAGAAGTATCTCCCACAGAAGTATCTCCCACAGAAGTATCTCCCACAGAAGTATCTCCCACAGAAGTATCTCCCACAGAAGTATCTCCCACAGAAGTATCTCCCACAGAAGTATGTCCCACAGAAGTATGTCCCACTGAAGTATCTCCCACAGAAGTATCCCCCACAGAAGTATCTCCCACAGAAGTATCTCCCACAGAAGTATCCCCCACAGAAGTATCTCCCACAGAAGTATCTCCCACTGAAGTATCTCCCACAGAAGTATCTCCCACAGAAGTATGTCCCACAGAAGTATCCCCCACAGAAGTATGTCCCACAGAAGTATGTCCCACAGAAGTATGTCCCACAGAAGTATGTCCCACAGAAGTATCTCCCACAGAAGTATCTCCCACAGAAGTATCTCCCACAGAAGTATCTCCCACAGAAGTATCTCCCACAGAAGTATCTCCCACAGAAGTATCCCCCACAGAAGTATCTCCCACAGAAGTATCTCCCACAGAAGTATCTCCCACAGAAGTATCTCCCACAGAAGTATCTCCCACAGAAGTATCTCCCACTGAAGTATCTCCCACAGAAGTATCTCCCACAGAAGTATGTCCCACAGAAGTATGTCCCACAGAAGTATGTCCCACAGAAGTATGTCCCACAGAAGTATGTCCCACAGAAGTATCCCCCACAGAAGTATGTCCCACAGAAGTATGTCCCACAGAAGTATGTCCCACAGAAGTATGTCCCACAGAAGTATCTCCCACAGAAGTATCTCCCACAGAAGTATCTCCCACAGAAGTATGTCCCACAGAAGTATCTCCCACAGAAGTATCTCCCACAGAAGTATCTCCCACAGAAGTATCTCCCACAGAAGTATCTCCCACAGAAGTATGTCCCACAGAAGTATGTCCCACTGAAGTATCTCCCACAGAAGTATCCCCCACAGAAGTATCTCCCACAGAAGTATCTCCCACAGAAGTATCCCCCACAGAAGTATCTCCCACAGAAGTATCTCCCACTGAAGTATCTCCCACAGAAGTATCTCCCACAGAAGTATCTCCCACAGAAGTATCCCCCACAGAAGTATGTCCCACAGAAGTATGTCCCACAGAAGTATGTCCCACAGAAGTATGTCCCACAGAAGTATCTCCCACAGAAGTATCTCCCACAGAAGTATCCCCCACAGAAGTATCTCCCACAGAAGTATCTCCCACAGAAGTATGTCCCACAGAAGTATCTCCCACAGAAGTATCCCCCACAGAAGTATGTCCCACAGAAGTATGCTCTCACAGAAGTATCTCCCACAGAAGTATGTCCCACAGAAGTATGTCCCACAGAAGTATGTCCCACAGAAGTATGTCCCACAGAAGTATGTCCCACAGAAGTATGTCCCACAGAAGTATGTCCCACAGAAGTATGTCCCACAGAAGTATGTCCCACAGAAGTATGTCCCACAGAAGTATGTCCCACAGAAGTATGTCCCACAGAAGTACCAAGAAGTATGTCCCACAGAAGTATCTCCTACAGAAGTATGTCCCACAGAAGTATCTCCTACAGAAGTATGTCCCACAGAAGTATGTCTCACAGAAGTATGTCTCACAGAAGTATGTCCCACAGAAGTATGTCCCACAGAAGTATGTCCCACAGAAGTATCTCCTACAGAAGTATGTCCCACAGAAGTATGTCCCACAGAAGTATGTCCCACAGAAGTATGTCCCACAGAAGTATCTCCCACAGAAGTATCTCCCACAGAAGTATGTCCCACAGAAGTATGTCCCACAGAAGTATCTCCCACAGAAGTATGTCCCACAGAAGTATGTCCCACAGAAGTATCTCCCACAGAAGTATGTCCCACAGAAGTATCTCCCACAGAAGTATCTCCCACAGAAGTATGTCCCACAGAAGTATGTCCCACAGAAGTATGTCCCACAGAAGTATCTCCCACAGAAGTATCTCCCACAGAAGTATCTTTTACCTTTGTTCCTTTCTTAAACATTTACAAATTAAATAAAAAATAAGACTTCAGCACAATTCTGTTTTATTCTATACTTTTATATTTAGTTTCTTTTGATAGTTCCAGTAATTACCACAAAGATCACTTTTATAATAATTATACTGTTTATGGTCATATACTACCTCCAGTCCTGTCCAGTCCTGTCCAGTCCAGTCCAGTCCTGTCCAGTCCAGTCCAGTCCTGTCCAGTCCTGTCCTGTCCAGTCCTGTCCTGTCCTGTCCAGTCCTGTCCAGTCCAGTCCTGTCCAGTCCAGTCCAGTCCAGTCCAGTCCAGTCCTGTCCTGTCCTGTCCTGTCCTGTCCTGTCCTGTCCTGTCCTGTCCTGTCCTGTCCTGTCCTGTCCAGTCCAGTCCAGTCCAGTCCAGTCCAGTCCAGTCCAGTCCAGTCCAGTCCCGTCCAGTCCTGTCCTGTCCTGTCCTGTCCTGTCCTGTCCTGTCCTGTCCTGTCCTGTCCTGTCCTGTCCTGTCCTGTCCTGTCCTGTCCAGTCCAGTCCTGTCCTGTCCTGTCCTGTCCAGTCCTGTCCTGTCCTGTCCTGTCCTGTCCTGTCCAGTCCAGTCCAGTCCAGTCCAGTCCAGTCCAGTCCAGTCCTGTGCTGAACATAAAAATACTTACACAAAATTACAACTACAGAAAACGAAGCAGTGACAAAAACACACTTTTTACACCAAAAATCAATGAAACAAAATCAGTGAAAAGACAGAGTTTTAGGACGAGACTAAAAACAGGATCAGTCTCAAACACAGCGACAGATCAGACCAACAACCGAGTCTGAGGACCAGAGCCAACGGTCTGTAACTGCTCTGGGTCTGAAAAGTCCTGGTCCGTAGTCCTGGTCCTTAGTCCTGGTCCTTAGTCCTGGTCCGTAGTCCTGGTCCGTAGTCCTGGTCCATAGTCCTGGTCCATAGTCCTGGTCCATAGTCCTGGTCCATAGTCCTGGTCCATAGTCCTGGTCCATAGTCCTGGTCCATAGTCCTGGTCCATAGTCCTGGTCCATAGTCCTGGTCCTTAGTCCTGGTCCTTAGTCCTGGTCCGTAGTCCTGGTCCGTAGTCCTGGTCCGTAGTCCTGGTCCGTAGTCCTGGTCCTTAGTCCTGGTCCTTAGTCCTGGTCCTTAGTCCTGGTCCTCAGTCCTGGTCCATAGTCCTGGTCCATAGTCCTGGTCCATAGTCCTGGTCCATAGTCCTGGTCCATAGTCCTGGTCCGTAGTCCTGGTCCGTAGTCCTGGTCCGTAGTCCTGGTCCGTAGTCCTGGTCCGTAGTCCTGGTCCGTAGTCCTGGTCCATAGTCCTGGTCCATAGTCCTGGTCCATAGTCCTGGTCCTCAGTCCTGGTCCTCAGTCCTGGTCCATAGTCCTGGTCCTCAGTCCTGGTCTGTAGTCCTGGTCCTTAGTCCTGGTCCCATTGATTTCAGAGACTCCACATTCATCACGTCGAAGTCCAATGGACGCTGCAGGATTATGAACGATTACGAAGAAAACACCACAATAATTAAGACGTGGAATCTTTCACATTTAACACAGAACGAAACTGGACTGTGGACTCAGAGGACTGTGGACTCAGAGGACTGTAGACTCAGAGGACTGTGGACTCAGAGGACTGTGGACATACTGCTGCTAATGTACAGATGCTAACATACTGCTGCTAATGTACAGATGCTAACATACTGCTGCTAATGTACAGATGCTAACATATGCTGCTAATGTACAGATGCTAACATACTGCTGCTAATGTACAGCTGCTAACATACTGCTGCTAATGATACAGATGCTAACCATACTGCTGCTAATGTACAGATGCTAACATACTTGCTGCTAATGTACAGATGCTAACATACTGCTGCTAATGTACAGATGCTAACATACTGCTGCTAATGTACAGATGCTAACATACTGCTGCTACTAATGTACAGATGCTTAACTATACTGCTGCTAATTTACAGATGCTAACATAGTGCTGCTAATGTACAGATGCTAACATAGTGCTGCTAACATGTACAGATTGGCACAGATCTGGTTGCCTCGCTTCTGTCAGTGTGCCCCAGGGCAGCTGTGGCTACAGGAGAAGTTTATCACCTCAGAGTTTGGAGTGAATAAACAATGATGTGGAAAGCGTCTTTGAGTGTCCAAAAAAGCACGATATAAAACCTATGCATTATTATTAATAAATTGAAGAGAAATCAAAGTGAATGAAGTTCCTTTTGCGGCCGCCCTGAAACCCGGAGAATGGAAGTGAGTCTTGTGTCTGTATTTACCCCAGGCACAAACGTGATGATGTTGTACTTCTGGTTCTTGATGCCGTTTTTGGGGTATTTCTCTTCACATTTCTCGGGACATCCGAGCCACACGGTCCTCGCCTTCAGCTCCTTCTTTCTCCTGCAGCATCGAGCCAGACAGTCGCAGCAGCTGAGGAAGAGGAGGAAGAAGAGTCAGACAGTCGCAGCAGCTGAAGAAGAGGAGGAAGAAGAGTCAGACAGTCGCAGCAGCTGAGGAAGAGGAGGAAGAAGAGTCAGACAGTCGCAGCAGCTGAGGAAGAGGAGGAAGAAGAGTCAGACAGTCGCAGCAGCTGAAGAAGAGGAGGAAGAAGAGTCAGACAGTCGCAGCAGCTGAGGAAGAGGAGGAAGAAGAGTCAGACAGTCGCAGCAGCTGAGGAAGAGGAGGAAAGAAGAGTCAGACAGTCGCAGCAGCTGAGGGAAGAGGAGGAAGAAGAGTCAGACAGTCGCAGCAGCTGAGGAAGAGGAGGAAGAAGAGTCAGACAGTCGCAGCAGCTGAGGAAGAGGAGGAAGAAGAGTCAGACAGTCGCAGCAGCTGAGGAAGAGGAGGAAGAAGAGTCAGACAGTCGCAGCAGCTGAGGAAGAGGAGAAAGAAGAGTCAGACAGTCGCAGCAGCTGAGGAAGAGGAGGAAGAAGAGTCAGACAGTCGCAGCAGCTGAGGAAGAGGAGGAAGAAGAGTCAGACAGTCGCAGCAGCTGAGAGGAGAGGAGGAAGAAGAGTCAGACAGTCGCAGCAGCTGAGGAAGAGGAGGAAGAAGAGTCAGACAGTCGCAGCAGCTGAGGAAGAGGAGGAAGAAGAGTCAGACAGTCGCAGCAGCTGAGGAAGAGGAGGAAGAAGAGTCAGACAGTCGCAGCAGCTGAGGAAGAGGAGGAAGAAGAGTCAGACAGTCGCAGCAGCTGAGGAAGAGGAGGAAGAAGAGTCAGACAGTCGCAGCAGCTGAGGAAGAGGAGGAAGAAGAGTCAGACAGTCGCAGCAGCTGAGGAAGAGGAGGAAGAAGAGTCAGACAGTCGCAGCAGCTGAGGAAGAGGAGGAAGAAGAGTCAGGGACAGTCGCAGCAGCTGAGGAAGAGGAGGAAGAAGAGTCAGACAGTCGCAGCAGCTGAGGAAGAGGAGGAAGAAGAGTCAGACAGTCGCAGCAGCTGAGGAAGAGGAGGAAGAAGAGTCAGACAGTCGCAGCAGCTGAGGAAGAGGAGGAAGAAGAGTCAGACAGTCGCAGCAGCTGAGGAAGAGGAGAAGAAGAGTCAGACAGTCGCAGCAGCTGAGGAAGAGGAGGAAGAAGAGTCAGACAGTCGCAGAGCTGAGGAAGAGGAGGAAGAAGAGTCAGACAGTCGCAGCAGCTGAGGAAGAGGAGGAAGAAGAGTCAGACAGTCGCAGCAGCTGAGGAAGAGGAGGAAGAAGAGTCAGACAGTCGCAGCAGCTGAGGAAGAGGAGGAAGAAGAGTCAGACAGTCGCAGCAGCTGAGGAAGAGGAGGAAGAAGAGTCAGACAGTCGCAGCAGCTGAGGAAGAGGAGGAAGAAGAGTCAGACAGTCGCAGCAGCTGAGGAAGAGGAGGAAGAAGAGTCAGACAGTCGCAGCAGCTGAGGAAGAGGAGGAAGAAGAGTCAGACAGTCGCAGCAGCTGAGGAAGAGGAGGAAGAAGAGTCAGACAGTCGCAGCAGCTGAGGAAGAGGAGGAAGAAGAGTCAGACAGTCGCAGCAGCTGAGGAAGAGGAGGAAGAAGAGTCAGACAGTCGCAGCAGCTGAGGAAGAGGAGGAAGAAGAGTCAGACAGTCGCAGCAGCTGAGGAAGAGGAGGAAGAAGAGTCAGACAGTCGCAGCAGCTGAGGAAGAGGAGGAAAGAAGAGTCAGACAGTCGCAGCAGCTGAGGAAGAGGAGGAAGAAGAGTCAGACAGTCGCAGCAGCTGAGGAAGAGGAGGAAGAAGAGTCAGACAGTCGCAGCAGCTGAGGAAGAGGAGGAAGAAGAGTCAGACAGTCGCAGCAGCTGAGGAAGAGGAGGAAGAAGAGTCAGACAGTCGCAGCAGCTGAGGAAGAGGAGGAAGAAGAGTCAAGACAGTCGCAGCAGCTGAGGAAGAGGAGGAAGAAGAGTCAGACAGTCGCAGCAGCTGAGGAAGAGGAGGAAGAAGAGTCAGACAGTCGCAGCAGCTGAGGAAGAGGAGGAAGAAGAGTCAGACAGTCGCAGCAGCTGAGGAAGAGGAGGAAGAAGAGTCAGACAGTCGCAGCAGCTGAGGAAGAGGAGGAAGAAGAGTCAGGACAGTCGCAGCAGCTGAGGAAGAGGAGGAAGAAGAGTCAGACAGTCACAGCAGCTGAGGAAGAGGAGGAAGAAGAGTCAGACAGACGCAGCAGCTGAGGAAGAGGAGGAAGAAGAGTCAGACAGTCGCAGCAGCTGAGGAAGAGGAGGAAGAAGAGTCAGACAGTCACAGCAGCTGAGGAAGAGGAGGAAGAAGAGTCAGACAGTCGCAGCAGCTGAGGAAGAGGAGGAAGAAGAGTCAGACAGTCGCAGCAGCTGAGGAAGAGGAGGAAGAAGAGTCAGACAGTCGCAGCAGCTGAGGAAGAGGAGGAAGAAGAGTCAGACAGTCGCAGCAGCTGAGGAAGAGGAGGAAGAAGAGTCAGACAGTCGCAGCAGCTGAGGAAGAGGAGGAAGAAGAGTCAGACAGTCGCAGCAGCTGAGGAAGAGGAGGAAGAAGAGTCAGACAGACGCAGCAGCTGAGGAAGAGGAGGAAGAAGAGTCAGACAGTCGCAGCAGCAGCTGAGGAAGAGGAGGAAGACGAGTCAGAAGACTGAGGTGGGGGAGAACAGCAGCTGAGGAAGAGGAGGAAGAAGAGTCAGACAGTCGCAGCAGCTGAGGAAGAGGAGGAAGAAGAGTCAGACAGTCGCAGCAGCTGAGGAAGAGGAGGAAGAAGAGTCAGACAGTCACAGCAGCTGAGGAAGAGGAGGAAGAAGAGTCAGACAGTCGCAGCAGCTGAGGAAGAGGAGGAAGAAGAGTCAGACAGTCGCAAGCAGTGAGGAGGAAGAAGAGTCAGACAGTCGCAGCAGCTGAGGAAGAGGAGGAAGAAGAGTCAGACAGTCGCAGCAGCTGAGGAAGAGGAGGAAGAAGAGTCAGACAGTCGCAGCAGCTGAGGAAGAGGAGGAAGAAGAGTCAGACAGTCGCAGCAGCTGAGGAAGAGGAGGAAGAAGAGTCAGACAGTCGCAGCAGCTGAGGAAGAGGAGGAAGAAGAGTCAGACAGTCGCAGCAGCTGAGGAAGAGGAGGAAGAAGAGTCAGACAGTCGCAGCAGCTGAGGAAGAGGAGGAAGAAGAGTCAGACAGTCGCAGCAGCTGAGGAAGAGGAGGAAGAAGAGTCAGACAGTCGCAGCAGCTGAGGAAGAGGAGAAGAAGAGTCAGACAGTCACAGCAGCTGAGGAAGAGGAGGAAGAAGAGTCAGACAGTCGCAGCATCTGAGGAAGAGGAGGAAGAAGAGTCAGACAGACGCAGCAGCTGAGGAAGAGGAGGAAGAAGAGTCAGACAGTCGCAGCAGCTGAGGAAGAGGAGGAAGAAGAGTCAGACAGTCACAGCAGCTGAGGAAGAGGAGGAAGAGGAGTCAGTCAGGTCGCGCAGCAGCTGAGGAAGAGGAGGAAGAAGAGTCAGACAGCTGGGAAGAGGAGGTCAGCGTCAGCAGCGTGAGGAAGAGGAGGAAGAAGAGTCAGACAGTCGCAGCAGCTGAGGAAGAGGAGGAAGAAGAGTCAGACAGTCGCAGCAGCTGAGGAAGAGGAGGAAGAAGAGTCAGACAGTCGCAGCAGCTGAGGAAGAGGAGGAAGAAGAGTCAGACAGTCACAGCAGCTGAGGAAGAGGAGGAAGAAGAGTCAGACAGTCGCAGGCAGCTGAGGAAGAGGAGGAAGAAGAGTCAGACAGTCGCAGCAGCTGAGGAAGAGGAGGAAGAAGAGTCAGACAGTCGCAGCAGCTGAGGAACAGACATGTCAACACCTGAGAAGAGGAAGTCAGGAGGTCAGACACCTGAGGAAGAGGAGGAGAGAGAGTCAGACAGCAGCTGAGGAAGGAAGAAGAGGAGACATGTCAGACACCTGAGGAAGAGGAGGAAGAGGAGGAAGAGGAGGAGGAGACATGAGGAAGAGACATGTCACACGTGCCAGCAGACTGAGGAAGAGGAGGAAGAGAGGAGACATGTCGCCAGACACATGAGGAAGAGGAGGAAGAGGAGAGACATGTCAGACACTGAGGAAAGAGGAGGAGACATGTCAGACACCTGAGGGAAGAGGAGGAAGAGGAGGAGACATGTCAGACACCTGAGGAAGAGGAGGAAGAGGAGGAGACATGTCAGACACCTGAGGAAGAGGAGGAAGAGGAGGAGACATGTCAGACACCTGAGGAAGAGGAGGAAGAGGAGGAGACATGTCAGACACCTGAGGAAGAGGAGGAAGAGGAGGAGACATGTCAGACACCTGAGGAAGAGGAGGAAGAGGAGGAGACATGTCAGACACCTGAGGAAGAGGAGGAAGAGGAGGAGACATGTCAGACACCTGAGGAAGAGGAGGAAGAGGAGGAGACATGTCAGACACCTGAGGAAGAGGAGGAAGAGGAGGAGACATGTCAGACACCTGAGGAAGAGGAGGAAGAGGAGGAGACATGTCAGACACCTGAGGAAGAGGAGGAAGAGGAGGAGACATGTCAGACACCTGAGGAAGAGGAGGAAGAGGAGGAGACATGTCAGACACCTGAGGAAGAGGAGGAAGAGGAGGAGACATGTCAGACACCTGAGGAAGAGGAGGAAGAGGAGGAGGAGACATGTCAGACACCTGAGGAAGAGGAGGAAGAGGAGGAGACATGTCAGACACCTGAGGAAGAGGAGGAAGAGGAGGAGACATGTCAGACACCTGAGGAAGAGGAGGAAGAGGAGGAGACATGTCAGACACCTGAGGAAGAGGAGGAAGAGGAGGGAGACATGTCAGACACCTGAGGAAGAGAGGAGGAAGAGGAGGAGACATGTCAGACACCTGAGGAAGAGGAGGAAGAGGAGGAGACATGTCAGACACCTGAGGAAGAGGAGGAAGAGGAGGAGAGGACTGGAAGAGAGGAGAGGAGGAGACATGTCAGACACCTGAGGAAGAGGAGGAAGAGGAGGAGACATGTCAGACACCTGAGGAAGAGGAGGAAGAGGAGGAGACATGTCAGACACCTGAGGAAGAGGAGGAAGAGGAGGAGACATGTCAGACACCTGAGGAAGAGGAGGAAGAGGAGGAGACATGTCAGACACCTGAGGAGAGGAAGAGGAGGAAGAGGAGGAGACATGTCGACACCTGAGAGAGGGAGAGAGGAGACATGTCCACCTGAGGAAGAGGAGGAAGAGGAGGAGACATGTCAGACACCTGAGGAAGAGGAGGAAGAGGAGGAGACATGTCAGACACCTGAGGAAGAGGAGGAAGAGGAGGAGACATGTCAGACACCTGAGGAAGAGGAGGAAGAGGAGGAGACATGTCAGACACCTGAGGAAGAGGAGGAGACATGTCAGACACCTGAGGAAGAGGAGGAAGAGGAGGAGACATGTCAGACACCTGAGGAAGAGGAGGAAGAGGAGGAGATATGTCAGACACCTGAGGAAGAGGACATGTCAGACACCTGAGGAAGAGGAGGAAGAGGAGGAGACATGTAAGACACCTGAGGAAGAGGAGGAAGAGGAGGAGACATGTCAGACACCTGAGGAAGAGGAGGAAAAGGAGGAGACATGTCAGACACCTGAGGAAGAGGAGGAAGAGGAGGAGACATGTCAGACACCTGAGGAAGAGGAGGAAGAGGAGAAGACATGTCAGACACCTGAGGAAGAGGAGGAAGAGGAGAAGACATGTCAGACACCTGAGGAAGAGGAGGAAGAGGAGGAGACATGTCAGACACCTGAGGAAGAGGAGGAGACATGTCAGACACCTGAGGAAGAGGAGGAAGAGGAGGAAGAGGAGGAGACATGTAAGACACCTGAGGAAGAGGAGGTCTCTCTCTCTGGTCTCTCTCTCTGGTCTCTCTGGTCTCTCTCTGGTCTCTCTCTGGTCTCTCTCTGGTCTCTCTCTCTGGTCTCTCTCTGGTCTCTCTCTGGTCTCTCTCTGGTCTCTCTCTGGTCTCTCTCTCTGGTCTCTCTCTCTGGTCTCTCTCTCTGGTCTCTCTCTCTGGTCTCTCTCTGGTCTCTCTCTCTGGTCTCTCTCTCTGGTCTCTCTCTGGTCTCTCTCTGGTCTCTCTCTCTGGTCTCTCTCTCTGGTCTCTCTCTCTGGTCTCTCTCTCTGGTCTCTCTCTGGTCTCTCTCTGGTCTCTCTCTGGTCTCTCTCTGGTCTCTCTCTGGTCTCTCTCTCTGGTCTCTCTCTGGTCTCTCTCTCTGGTCTCTCTCTGGTCTCTCTCTGGTCTCTCTCTCTGGTCTCTCTCTGGTCTCTCTCTCTGGTCTCTCTCTGGTCTCTCTCTGGTCTCTCTCTCTGGTCTCTCTCTGGTCTCTCTCTCTGGTCTCTCTCTCTGGTCTCTCTCTCTGGTCTCTCTCTGGTCTCTCTCTGGTCTCTCTCTGGTCTCTCTCTGGTCTCTCTCTGGTCTCTCTCTGGTCTCTCTCTGGTCTCTCTCTGGTATCTCTCTGGTCTCTCTCTGGTCTCTCTCTGGTCTCTCTCTGGTCTCTCTCTGGTCTCTCTCTGGTCTCTCTCTGGTCTCTCTCTGGTCTCTCTCTGCTCTCTCTCTGGTCTCTCTCTGGTCTCTCTCTCTGGTCTCTCTCTGGTCTCTCTCTGGTCTCTCTCTGGTCTCTCTCTGCTCTCTCTCTGGTCTCTCTCTGGTCTCTCTCTCTGGTCTCTCTCTCTGGTCTCTCTCTGGTCTCTCTCTGGTCTCTCTCTTTGGTCTCTCTTTGGTCTCTCTCTGGTCTCTCTCTGGTCTCTCTCTGGTCTCTCTCTGCTCTCTCTCTGGTCTCTCTCTGGTCTCTCTCTCTGGTCTCTCTCTGGTCTCTCTCTGGTCTCTCTCTGGTCTCTCTCTGCTCTCTCTCTGGTCTCTCTCTGGTCTCTCTCTCTGGTCTCTCTCTGGTCTCTCTCTGGTCTCTCTCTGGTCTCTCTCTTTGGTCTCTCTCTGGTCTCTCTCTCTGGTCTCTCTCTCTGGTCTCTCTCTCTGGTCTCTCTCTGGTCTCTCTCTGGTCTCTCTCTTTGGTCTCTCTCTGGTCTCTCTCTGGTCTCTCTCTGGTCTCTCTCTGGTCTCTCTCTCTAGTCTCTCTCTGGTCTCTCTCTGGTCTCTCTCTGGTCTCTCTCTGGTCTCTCTCTGGTCTCTCTCTGGTCTCTCTCTGGTCTCTCTCTGGTCTCTCTCTGGTCCCAGGTGATCCGTGTCACTTCTGTTTTTAGCTGCTTTATGCTAATGCTAATTGGTGAGTGTGAATGAACTGCTGAAGTGATATCACACGTCTCTGCATCTGAGACACCTCCGACCGCAGCGACACACACACACACACACAGGCTACACACACACACTAACACACAGACGCACAACACACTACGATCACACAATAATCGCAGATTTCCAGTCGTTCACAGGAGGCAGGTGCAAAAACAGAAGTGACGCTGAAGAAGAAAAGTTTACTTTGAGCAAAAGAAAAGTAAGAACTGCTGAGAAAATAATATAAGATATCATGGAGCACAGGGACCAGCCTCCTGACTCTGAGGAGCACAGGGACTGGCCTCCTGACTCTGAGGAGCACAGTGACTGGCCTCCTGACTCTGAGGAGCACAGGGACTGGCCTCCTGACTCTGAGGAGCACAGGGACTGGCCTCCTGACTCTGAGGAGCACAGGGACTGGCCTCCTGACTCTGAGGAGCACAGGGACTGGCCTCCTGACTCTGAGGAGCACAGGGACTGGCCTCCTGACTCTGAGGAGCACAGGGACCGGCCTCCTGACTCTGAGGAGCACAGGGACTGGCCTCCTGACTCTGAGGAGCACAGGGACCGGCCTCCTGACTCTGAGGAGCACAGGGACTGGCCTCCTGACTCTGAGGAGCACAGGGACCAGCCTCCTGACTCTGAGGAGCACAGGGACTGGCCTCCTGACTCTGAGGAGCACAGGGACTGGCCTCCTGACTCTGAGGAGCACAGGGACTGGCCTCCTGACTCTGAGGAGCACAGGGACTGGCCTCCTGACTCTGAGGAGCACAGGGACTGGCCTCCTGACTCTGAGGAGCACAGGGACCGGCCTCCTGACTCTGAGGAGCACAGGGACAGGCCTCCTGACTCTGAGGAGCACAGGGACAGGCCTCCTGACTCTGAGGAGCACAGGGACTGACCATAGACCATAGACTTCTACCCGGCAACCGCCTGACGACGCCATTAAAACATTAAATGATGACGTTTCTCGCCACACTCGTTAAGGCACTTGTTACATTTGTATTCAGTCTTTTTTATTTAACCAGAAAAGTCCCATTGAGGTTCTCTCTCTCTGGTCTCTCTCTCTGGCCTCTCTCTGGTCTCTCTCTCTCTGGCCTCTCTCGGGTCTCTCTCTCTGGTCTCTCTCTCTGGCCTCTCTCTGGTCTCTCTCTCTCTGGTCTCTCTCGGGTCTCTCTCTCTGGACTCTCTCTCTGGTCTCTCTCTGGTCTCTCTCTGGTCCCTCTCTGGTCTCTCTCTCTGGTCTCTCTCTGGTCCCTCTCTCTCTGGTCTCTCTCTCTCTGGTCTCTCTCGGGTCTCTCTCTCTGGTCTCTCTCTCTGGCCTCTCTCTGGTCTCTATCTCTGGTCTCTCTCTGGCCTCTCTCTGGTCTCTCTCTCTCTGGTCTCTCTCGGGTCTCTCTCTCTGGTCTCTCTCTGGCCTCTCTCTGGTCTCTCTCTCTCTGGTCTCTCTCTCTGGCCTCTCTCTGGTCTCTCTCTCTCTGGCCTCTCTCTCTCTCTGGTCTCTCTCTCTCCGCAGACAGGGACCATAACAACCCCTCACCTTGGCCTCGATGGCGGCCTCGGTGCAGGCCTGGAGCATGGTCAGGTGATGTGCGAACACCAAGAACTTGAGGCGCTCGTCCTGCAGCATCATCCTCATGTAATCCTTCACAGCTCCGGCCTGAGCACAACAAACACACACACGGGTCAGATCCTTCAGCGCCGCCGCCGCACACACCGCCACACAAATCTGGCAACAAGTCAATCCATCTGGCGGCCTCCCCTCCTCCTGATCGATCCCCGTTGAACACACAGATCTGACTTGAAAAGAAAAGCAAGAGCAGAAGCAAGAGGCGCATTTGTCACAGCGGGAGATAGTGACACACACACACACACACACACACACACACACACACACACACTCACACACACAGAGTGTGGTGTTGGAGTCATCATTGATCAACCGTAACATTGTAACAGGAGGTTTTTATCTGTATCATGACAGATCTGCACCTGTTAAAGGTCACAGTACTCGTTCTACAGCCTGAGTCCTGGATCTATGACCTGCCCTCTGTGGGAACCATCCCTCTCTGCCTCTGGTCTCTCTCCCTCTGGTCTCCTCTCTGGTCTCTCCCCCTGGTCTCTCTCCTCTCTGGTCTCTCCCCCTGGTCTCTCTCCCCCTGGTCTCCTCTCTGGTCTCCCCCCCTGGTCGCTCTCCCTCTGGTCTCTCTCCCCCTGGTCTCCTCTCTGGTCTCTCCTCTCTGGTCTCTCTCCTCTCTGGTCTCTCCCCCCTGGTCTCCTCTCTGGTCTCTCTCCCCCTGGTCTCCTCTCTGGTCTCTCCCCCTGGTCGCTCTCCCTCTGGTCTCTCTCCCCCTGGTCTCCTCTCTGGTCTCTCTCCTCTCTGGTCTCTCCCCCTGGTCTCTCTCCCCCTGGTCTCCTCTCTGGTCTCTCCCCCTGGTCTCCTCTCTGGTCTCTCCCCCTGGTCTCTGTCCTCTCTGGTCTCTCCCCCTGGTCTCTCTCCCCCTGGTCTCCTCTCTGGTCTCTCCCCCTGGTCTCTCTCCTCTCTGGTCTCTCCCCCTGGTCTCTCTCCCCCTGGTCTCCTCTCTGGTCTCTCCCCCTGGTCTCTCTCCCCCTGCCCTCTCTCTCTGGTCCCTCTCCCTGGTCCCTCTCTCTGGTCTCCCCTGGTCTCGCTCTGGTCTCCCTCTCCCTGCTCTCTCTCTTCCTAGTCTCGCTCTGGTCTCGGTGACAAACAGAACAGGTGCCACAGCAGAATGTATTTTCAGAATCTACAGTTTTAGCAAAACCCCAAAAGAGGCCATTAGACCGAAGACCTGTCAGAGTGACGCCCGAGCCACAATTACTGCAGAAAGTTAAAGTTATTTTC